TGAGACCCAGCCCAGCTCCAGAACCCAGATGAGCTCTGAGACCCAGCCCAGCTCTAGAACCCAGATGAGCTCTGAGACTCAGCCCAGCTCTAGAACCCAGATAAGCTCTGAGACCCAGCCCAGCTCTAGAACCCTGATGAGCTCTGAGACCACACCCAGCCCTAGAACCCAGATGAGCTCTAAGACCCAGCCCAGTTCTAGAATCCAGATGAGCTCTGAGACCACACCCAGCTCTGGAACTCAGATGAGCTCTAAGACCAAGCCCAGCATTGAGACCAAGCCCAGCATTGAGACCAAGCCCTGTTCTAGAACTCAGGCCAGCCTTGAGACCAAGCCCAGCTCTAGAACCCAGAAGAGCTCTGAGACCAAGCCCTTCTCTAGAACCCAGAAGAACTCTGAGACCAAGCCCAGCTCTGAGACCCAGCCGTGTTCTAGAACGCAGACCGATTCTGAGACCAAGCCCAGCTCCAAGATGAAGCCAAGCTCTGAAACCAAACCCAACTCCGAGCACAAGCCCAGAACCCAGGCCCGCTCTGAGATGAAGCTCATCTCTAGAATCCAGCTGAGCCCTGACAGCAAGCCTAGCTCTGGAATGCAGACAAATTTTAAGACCCTGGCCAGCTTGGGGACGAATCTCAGTTCCAGAATCCAGGCTAGCTCGGAGGCCAAGCCCTGCTGGAACACTCGAGCAGACTCTGGCACTCTGGACTCTCGGTCTGGCTCCAGAACCCCAGTTAATTTTGGCACCCATGTGAGATTCATGAAGCAGCCCAGCTCTGGAACCCCAGCCAGCTCAGGATTCAGAGACAGCTCCCAAATCGAACCGTATTCAAGAACTCACACCAGCTCAGAAACGCAGACCCGTGCAGCTGCCCAGTCTAGATTCCAACCCCAGCCCTGCTCTAAAACCCAGCTGCATGCAAGTACCCATCCCTATCCTGCAGCCCGGTCCAGTTCCAGTGATGATTCCAGCTCTGAGACTGGGCCCAGCTCTAGAACCCCACCTAGTGCTACAACCAGGTCCAACTTCAGGATTCAGACCAGCCCTGGAACGCTGTCCGTCCCGGAAGCAGGGCCCAGCCCCAGCACACAGCTTGGTGCTGAGCCCCGCTCTCCCAGCAGAACGCAGATCAGCTCTAGAACGCAGTTTGCTTCCGGGACTCAGACTCATTTCGAGGCCCGGCCAAGTTCCAGAGCTCAACCCAGCCCAGGCACCGCAGCCAACTCTAGAAGTCATCTCGGTTCTGCAGCGCAGACTGGTTCTGAAATCCCAGCCAGCTCCAAAATGCAGACAGTGGCCGAGACCCAGGCAAATTCCAGAATCCGGCTAAGCCTTGGAGTCCAATCTAGTCCTGGGACCCAGGACATTGCAGCAACAGAGCTAAGCTCCGCGGCCCTGTCGAGTTCCGACAGCAGGCCCGGCTCCAGGACCCAGCGCTGCCCAGGAGCTCAACCAACCTCCGGGACCCAACTCACCTCTGGAACCCTGCCAGGTTCTAGATACCAGCTCCAGACCACAACCCCAGACAGCTCTGGTATTCAAGTGGACTTTGGGAAGCAGCCCAGCTCTGCGACCCAGTTAAGTTCAAGAATTCGAGCCAGCTCTGGAAGTCAGCTTAGTTCTGGAACCCAGCTCAGCTCTAGAACCCACGTCAGTCCTGGGAGTCAGTCCAGCTCTGAAACCCAGACCAGCTCGAGAATTCAGCCCGATCCTGGAGCCCACCTTAGCTCCAGAACCCAGTCCAGCGCTGAGACCGGGCTCAGCTCAGAAACCCAGACCAGCTCCAGAATTCAGCCCAGCCCCGGAGCCCACCGGAGCCCTGGAGCCCAGCCCAGCTCCGGCACTCACACCAGTTCAAGAATCTGGCTGAGCCCTCGAAGTGGGCTGTGCTCACAGACCCCTGGCCTTGACCCTAGAATTCAGCTTGAGGCCCCTGCCCCAGCCGGACCTCAGCCCCCAGGCCCACCCCCCAGAGCCCCCACCGCAACCCCTAGCAGAGACCCCCAGCCTCTGCCTCAGCCCCATGATCAGGTCCATGGCACCCAGGTCAGCCCTGGCCCCGTTCCAGGCTCACCCCCAGCCTCCTACCTGGCCCCTCAGCCACAGGCCTCCTCAACCCCCCAGAAGCCAGCCCTTCCCCCAAAGCCTGAGCTGGGACCGCAGAAGTCCACCCCACCCACCATATCTGTCTCTCTTAGCCCCACCCCCAGGGCAGCCCTCCTGAGTTCCCACCCTTCTGAGTCCCCAGCGCTGGCTCCTGCCCCTTCCCCTACTCTGGGGGAACCAGGACCCCTCCATTACTGCAGGGGGCTGTAGACTGGGGTGACTTAGCCCTGGTTCCTGTGGTTCCCATCCTGTCCTGTCCCTTTCAGCTTGTTCCCCCAGAAGCAGCAAGTGACCTTATATTCCCAGCAGGCAGTGGCGGGGGTGGGGGCGGGGTACGGTGGTAGAATCAGGGGCTTCGGTTTCACCGGGCCTGGCTCACATCCAGGTCCTGGGAAGGAAAAGGAGGGGGGAGACATCCCGCACCACATGTACCCTGAGGCTCGTGGTGAATAAAGGCGCCTCCCATCTCTGGAGCCTGGTGTGTCATTTTGAGGGGAATTAGGGGAGCGCGGAGATGTGGGGCTGGGGCTGCTGGCTGAAACTACGCTGAGCACCTCCTGACCACCTACTATGTACCAAGCATGTCATTAAGCACCACAAGGGCATGAGCTTTCATGCCTGCACATGACGGGTGCTCCATGAAGACCCAGACGTTGGTCCTTTCTTTTTCTGAGACAGACTCTCACTCCGTCACCCAGGCTGGAGGCAGGGGCACAGTCTCAGCTCACTGCAACCTCTGCCTCCTGGGTTCAAGCGATTCTCCTGTCTAGGCCTCCCAAGCAGCTGGGACTACAGGCACACACCACCACGCCTGGCTAATTTTTTGTATTTTTAGTAGAGACGGGGTTTTACCATGTTGGCCAGGCTGGTCTCAATCTCTTGACCTCGTGATCCGCCTGCCTCGGCCTCCCAAAGTGCTGGAGTTATAGGCATGAGCTTTCACACCTGCCACACTTATCCTCACT